GGTGGGTGGGTGTGTGCGTTTGACAGCGCGTGCGGAAGTGTGTGTGTGTGTGTGGGTGTGTGTGTTTGTGTGTGTGTGTGTGCATGTGTGTGTATATTTGTGTGTGTTTGTGTGGGTGTGTCTGTGAGTGTGTGTGTGTGCGTGAGTATGTGTTACAAAGCGTGTGCAAGTGCGAGCATTTGTGCTTCTTGTTGTCTGCGTATTGAAAAAAAATGCTTGCAATGCATTTAGACCAAAAACGACTTATTTTGGGGATAAGAAGAGAAAGGCGGGAAGAGTACACATTATAGGCTATCTATTTTCAGTATCAACAGCATCATTATCTAAACAAGTGTCCCATTACCTGAGACAATATAACACATTATGCAGCTTCACAATGAAAGTTTTGAGGTTATTCAATCAGCATGTTTCTTTTTCTTTCACACAAAATCCAAACGATATAAATATCTAGACAACTAAATGTATATTATTCAGGGGATCGAAGATTAGGTGTCTTGAAGTTGTCACTTTGCATGACGTCGAATCTTCATTTCGCTGAAGGTGACCGAGTCGTTCTCTCCAGTTAAATCGTACCAGTTCATGCCCTTCTTGCTTTCTGTGCTACCCCAAGGTCCGTTGAGGTTCACGTAATGGCAAACATTGTACCACCAGGCTCCATGGCGATCAACAGCGCAGTTGCTTGAATCCCATGCATCGCGATCAACGTCCCTGGTTGTAAACTCTAGCCCATTGTGGTACGCCATCTTGTCAGCGACATTACCCGAAAATCCAGATATATGAATTCTATAGCGTTCTGACTCTCCGGACAGCTTAAAGTTCTTATAGCTGGCATAGTAATCTTCTCCTTTGTATTTCATATCGATCCTCAATTCATACTTCTCCTGGTGATGAGAACGAGAGGAAAATTAGACCAACTGATATTACGATACTTCTGATTTCCATACAGACAAAACCCGACTATTTAATTTGTCTCAATCAAAAATAGTTTGGCCTTGACGAGGATGTTTTTAATTGATAAAACATTTCATATCAAGCTCAGAAAACGACGAGATATAATAAAATCTGTTCAAACAACAGACTAAGACTGATAGAGACTAAATGGCTACAATAGTGCATGTCCCTCCCCCCCCCCCCCCCCCCCCCAATTGCTTTCCTCAATTAAGGTAAATTCCAAGCAAAATACGGAAATGTTATAAGGGCCATGAGCTACGATTTAACGTCCATCTCCGACATGACACTGCAAAGTGGGTGGACAGACCAGAAAACGTATACTGTTACACTGTCATCAACGAAAAGAAAGAAATGATAATGGTGAGGATAAAGTAACAATCTGATATCGCGAGGAAAAAGTACATCGACATCGACGACAGCAACGGTGCTCAGAGGTGTCATATACTTTGACAATACCCGGTACGTTGTACGTGTTTTGGTAAGTTAAGTTTCACGGAATTTGCTGTACAATTAGGTCATAATAATATAAGGGCCAAAGATTAGAAGTATTACAATATATTAACATACTGATAAAAGGAAGAGCGATAAAGACGATGGTATAGTTATTATGTTTGATAGGAAAGAAGGAACAATCTACACTAGAGCACCCGCCAACCACCCGCATACATTGTAGATGCACATGTACATTGTAGAGGCCCGATCACATTTTCAAGTAATATAGGAAACGAAAAAAGCACAACTTGCCTGGCTGGTCAGCTGGTGGATATTTTCCAACCCAAACCAGAAGTTCCCAAACAGGTCGCCGAATCCGCTTTTGTAATCTGCCCAGTCACGATAGAAGTCCACAGCTGCAGAAGCACGTCTCTGTAGACATAACAGAACATTGCGCCAGTTTGTGAGGCCTGCTATCATGAAACACGTTCAATCATAGTGTGAGAAAATGTATGCGGATCTGTGGTCCATTCTAATCCTGGACATAAAACCGTTCCAGTTTATAAGGTGACTTTTGAGAAATAACTGACACATTTTAAAATATTATTGATGAAGTTTATGAACTTTTATCTCGAATCCGATATACATAGCTCGTAAAGTTTCAATATTGCGCTGGGATATTGGTGCAGATTTTTATTCCGCTTTATCCCAGAGTTTTTTTCTTCTTCTATATTTGAGGGTATGTTATTCTATTTTTCGTCAATAGTATTTCCCCTTCAACTTGAATATAACACGTTCTGATGTGATATAGTAGGAGCAAATCCAACATTGGGGAAGTTTTGTGGCACTGAAATTTCAAATTTGACAAGTATTCTTCATAGCAGTATGGTTCGGTGCAGGATCAAATAAGACAACACAGCAACATCAATAGAGAGCAATATATTTTTCAAAAGTGACGTTGTATGCTCAAATGTGACATCAATAGAAAGTAGTTTCATTTACCATGAACAAAGGAAAATTCCGAGAGTTCACTCCAAAATGGCTGATACACACAAAGTCCTCATCTACGAGGCATATCTGAGAGGTGTGCACACAAAGTCCACGTTTACGATGCATATTTGAGAGGTGATCTCTACTTGCTGGGCGAAATGCGCACACCTGCCTACAGTTTGTGAAATGATAAACGAGCGCAGGAGAGAGATGGCCAAGTAACAAGGCCTCGTAGTAGTTAGAGACATGTTAAGGTGTCTGGCAACATAAGAGTTGTTGACAAGCACTCGGGCTTTACTGTTGGCATGATCAATAGAGAGCTCGGAGTCTGCATAACCTAATTATCATGGAAAAAAAACAACCGTTTCAAGACACGCCTTCTAGAAGAAATTCTGACCGAACCAAGGATCTGTACCATGCATATGGAACATGAATTATGCATCATGTATAAGCCAGAGAATTCATCTACAGTGCGGTCAAAAATTCGTGGCCCAACTTATTATCAAATTATATTTCCTCAACTATCGAACATAAAGTCTCCAGCTTTTACATAATGGCTTATATCAGATTGTCTTTCCAGATCAATATCTTTGTTATACCCGTTAGCTGCATTCGCGAAAATTCCTTAATAACTACAGTACTTGTTAAAATCCCCAGTAGGTGGTTTCTGCAATTATAAAAAAAAAACGGTTTACAGCTGGGACAATATTATCGCTTTTAAAAGCAAGTCCGTCGTTCTCTTTTCTGGCTGTGACATTTTCTTATTGAATGCTTGTTTTGAGAACCTTTAGAGTAAAAATGTGTTCACTGTAAAATGTATTTCTAGTAATACGTTTTGCTACTAAAAGTGTCATTGGGGAGCTGTGACGTAGACCATAATAATATGCGTATGCAAAATGTGTGTGAGAAGTGGGAAGTGTTGTGAACAATCCCAGTTCCCGCGTCATGGAGATTTATAGTCATTTACACAATTTAGGAAGAAAAGTGTTGTTGTTTTTTTAGTATAGCCACAACTGTTATGGAAACATATGATTAAGTTAAAACAAATTTATACAAACTGCTGTGAATAGTATGGGTGACGTTGATTCACCTGTTAAAGAAGTATTTAATAATAGATTACGCCACGAATTTTTGATTGCATTATAAATAATAATCAATGTTTGTGCAAACCTTTGGATGCCTGTGGACAATTTCACCGAGTGACTTGAGCAGTGCGTGTTGTCCAAGGCCGATGTGAAATAAAATATTAATTTTACAATGACTTGCGGTTCAAGCAATGTTGGTGGCCTCTTAAACCATGAATTTTCTGAAGGAGGAATAGCAATGACCGCTTCGATGATTTCATGTAAGCAATGAGCAGAGCTTACCTTGTGGTGAATACTTTTTTCGTCAATGATCATGCATCTGTTCATATGTAAGCAGCCAATTTGCTATGGCCGCCACATTTTAATCTCGTGTATTTGCATCCTTACTCCCCATTTATATATTAATAGTCACTTTTAAAGACAAGCGGGCCAACCCAGATTTCGGGGGGTTTCCAGAAATCTTGACCTACACCAAACGTGGGCATTACCCTACCTATAGGAGAAGTTTGGTTTCATAGGTGTGTATATTTGTTTAGTTATAGTGAAAACTCTCCGTGTCTTCTAAAGAAACTCAACAAGGGCCCAAAAACTTTACCTTCGATTTTCTCAAAACGTCATTTTTCGGGATTGCCTTTGTGCTTAAAAGCGACCAATTAATATCTGCGAAAATTGTTTTTATGGAAGGTAAAAATGAAAGAAATACTGCTCAAAGTTCAGCATCAGCTCTTGAATCGCTTTTAGGGGTAAAGTAAAGTTGTTCCCGCATCCGATCTGAACATTGGGGATTGCCTTGTTAGTAAGACAACTTCCTGGGCCTTTGGTTTATTGTGGTAGGGTGGCCAGTTCCTTTCCTCGCCACCTTTACTTCCTCAACTGGAAGTCAGGAAGCCATTACTGCTGGGTGGAGAGGAGTGGACCGGAGGAGCTATTGTTATGAAACCCTTTACAGCCTTGTTATGTTTACTGCTCTTGTTTCTGCATCTATTCACATTTGAAACAGTAAAGTTCAAATTTGAAAGCACTACGTACAGTTTTATGCTTTCTATACTCGTATTTGAAATTGCATGTCACATTCGACCTCCCTATGTCACATTTCTCCTCACCATGTCACATTTGAACTACTATTATAGTATTCATGGAAATGCAGAGACTTAAAACATTCTTCAAAACGTGCGGTTGCAAGGCAATGTCTAGCACTATGCATATATTATTTTACCGGTTGTAAAGTGTTTGTACAAACTGTGTTCCATTTTTTTTGTATCACCTGTATTAGTGCACAATGTTGATCACACCTGTATTGTATCAGTCTATACTAGTTATGTAATGTTGATCTCACCTGTATTGTGCCAGCCTACACTGCAGTAAACATAATTTGAATATCATCTGAATTGAACACAGTGTGTATTGCAATAGCATGTTGATTTCTCCAGTATTGTAACAACATGTATTATAGTAAGATAACGTTGATACCACCCAAATTATAAACAAACTTTTATAACAAACAAACAAAAACATTTAAAAAACAACAAACAAAGCCGAACTAACCTGTATAACAATCCAGTCGCCGTTGTCTGTCTCGGTGTCGCAGACTGCTCTTATTCCGCTGGGCAGGAAAATGACAGGTCGTGAGCCCAGACCTTGTACTTCAGAACACGATTGTGGCTGCAGAGAAACAGAGGAAGAATTTGAATAAAAAGGCTTTAGTTTTAGTTTTAGTAGAGGTTTTACGGCACTCGCAACAGCATAAAGTCAAATGAGCACCAGAAGATTAGAGGTGTTACAAGAGAGTAACAAACATAAAAAGAAGGGGAGATAAGGAGGATAGATGTTTGATAGGAAAGAAGAAGCAAACCACACTAGAGCACCCGCCAACCACCTTAGGAAAAAGAAGGGGGGAATTTGGTTTGTCCGTAACATCGCGACAGACTTCTCGGAATAGTGAACACCTGCTCAGTGATAAATTATCCGTCAATCAGGTTGATGATTTCCCAGTTTATCACTCAGTTCAATAATTTCTCACAGTTTATCACCAATTCAAATTCGCAACTTATCATTGAGTACATTTCTATTATGTTTTAATATGTCAACAAATTAGTTTATCAATTGATCAAACAGTTTCAGCTCCTGAAGTTCAAAATTGTACTGACCAGAAAATACAAACTTATGACAATCTCACATGGGACTGGGAAGAGAGCACACGATATTCCTCTCCTAGGTAGAAAATCAGATTCAAATTCACGAAAGTTTAAGATTATTTATTCCATGGTCAGATTGAAAATCGTCCTTGCAGGCTATTGTTTGTGGCCATCTCCTATCGCTCAGATAGATAGACAGACAGATAGGTAGATAAGAGAGAGATAAAGAGGGACAGAGAAAAAGAGAGGGAGAGGGAGAGGGAGAGGGAGAGGGAGAGAGAGAGAGAGAGAGAGAGAGAGAGAGAGAGAGAGAGAGAGAGAGAGAGATGGATGGATGGAGGGAGGGAGGGAGAGAGAGGGGGGGGGGCGAGAGAGGAAGGCATGAAGAGCTCCATATCCATTATTCAGCACAGTAAAAGGAGACAGTAGCTGTATGCACTGTTAGATGAAATGTATTTCCGTGCTATATCTAGACCAGTAACCCCTTGGTAAAATGTTTGCTTGTCAACACTGGAGGTCAAACACTACGTGAGATTCTCACCTGTAACTTGCTCTTAAAATCGCTCAGCTTGCGCTCAAAATTCGACTCAAGTGCCTCTACGATCTGTTGAACAAGCTCACTTTTCGTCTGTTCAGTCGTTGCATTGACCTTCTCAAGAATGTCTTCTCTCTGTTCATCAAATTCTCTTTTAACCTCTTCAGCAAACGCAGTGACGTTGTCGAGAATGTCTTCCTTTTGTTGAACAAGCTCTCTTTTAGCTTGTTCAGCTGTCACAGTCACGTTGCCAACGATGTCTTCTTCTTGTTGAACAATCTCTTCTTTTGTCTGCTCCATTATCGCCTCCACATTTTCCAGAATCTGGCGTTTCTGAGACATCATTTGATGAGGACATTCCCTCTTATTCTGATCTACTGTGTGGCTCAGAACCTGTAAAGTGACGTCACACATAGAGATTATTAAGGACATGGTGAAAAGTCTTCTTCTTCAATTCTTCTTCTTCTTCTTCTTCTTCTTCTTCTTCTTCTTCTTCTTCTTCTTCTTTTCTTCCTCTTACTTTATCACTTGGCCCTTGCAATCCTACAAATACTGGGATCAGTACAGACCCCTCTCAATAGCTATAAACTTAGCATAAAAAGAAGAGAGATGACAATTGAAAAGCTTCTATTGACAATACTTAGTAGACAGTCATCCTTTACGGACTTACTAATAAACAAAACAGTGGATATAACTCTACGCCAAAACTGTTTGAGTAATCATAACCACAAAGAGTGGCTACACGTCAGTAAGATAATTATAATAATGGATAAACGTAATTCTTCTTCTGCCACAAGTACCTGCACAAACTGTTTGAGACATTGACAATGTGGGCAAGGTCAAGGACGCACATGGCATTAAAGACAACGCCAGGTCACGTGGTTCATTTTTCTACTTGATAATACGAAAACGTAACAGGCATGGTAAAGATTGTGCTGCTACTTTTGGAGACCCCCCCCCCCCAAAAAAAAAAAAAAAAAAAAAAAAAAAAAATTCTGGGCTCATGTATACTTGTCTATAGTGGGAAATAATACTTACAGAGAGATTCTCACCTGAAACTTGCTCTCAAAACTTGCTCCAAAAGACTCGACGATCGCTGTAAAGTTCTGAAGAATGTCATCTTTTTGCTGCATACACTGTGTCTTGCTCTCTTCTGCCATGACTGTCACGTTTTCCAGGATGATTTCTCTCTGAGACCGCAGTCGCTGGAGGTACTCTCTCTTGTTCTCCTCCATTATTTTGTTAAGGATCTGCACCGTGAGGTTACTCTTTCGGGAGATGAGCGTGGGTTGGCTTTTTTTAAAGATGAAATTTTCCTGTGACGTCAAGACTACGAAGTCACATCTGTACTCGCCAGTTGTATCGTCAGTCGCCACAGGCCACGTAAGCCGCAGAAAGCTGTCAGAGATGGAAGTCTTGTTGGCCTCAGCGAGTACATCCTTACGTTTTGGCGTTACTTCTGCGTCATCATCGAGAAATTCTGCAAAACTACTCCATCCATCTTGGTCTTTTTTCAGGATTCGCATCATGATAACTTCAGAATTAATGTCCTTTTGTTGATCGTCTTCGACACATTGTAATGATACATTCTTCGTTTTCCATATTTCCACTTCGGCCGTTGAGACATTGAGAACAAGTGCGTCGCAGGACAATAAGATCGCTGCCGCCAAAAGCATATAACCAGATTTCACGTTGGGGCCCATTGTTAGTACACAGCGCGTTATTTTGGTCACAAAGACCTCTGCGTGATTTTTCCAGGAAATCTACAGGAAATATGGAGAAAAAAACAGAACCTATTCAGTCAAGAAAACGTTTGGACTGTACACATTTCGGACAAAATTCTAAAGATTTCAGAGCCAGCTTAACATTTATTTAATAACTTTTAAAGTCGACACCCACCACTGCACCCATGTCTGTGGTGTAGCAGTTAGGCGCTTCGCTGTTGCATGCAGGAGACCCAAGTCAGATTCCCCAGTAGAGAGTACATTCTTATCAATTATTGTCTGGGTCTTCCTGCTATTATGTTGTATCCCTCTCAGCTCTAGTTGGCCCTGGCAGGCAGAGTTAGAAGCTCGCCTCCTTAATTATGATCCAGATTGTGTCGATGGGTACGTAAAAATACCCACATTTCAAAAGATATAGACTATTTTTAAAACTAGCCACAGCTGTGCCTGGAGGGATATCGTCCGTTCACCGTCTATTCTCTACGTATAGTTCTCAAACAATTGCACTCATTTAATTTTCTTCTCTGGATTTGTATCTAGTTTTTGTTATTACCAACAAAAACGTATCCCTGTTCGACTAGCTGCAATCTGCCTATCAGCTACCAGCCGCTTATTACAGGAAAGTCCAGAACTTTAGATTTTGTTCAAGGAGCGGTTCACACTTGCTAAATGACGTTCGGAATCGATGTATTGTTCTAACTTCGGACTTTTGATTCTGGCCACAATGGATTCTTTATCAGAGAGATTTATTTCAAGTTCCTAACTATGATTTCAGAAGTTTACTCAAGTAAACCAGATATCGTGTGACGCAGAGTCGTGGAGCAGGCGTGGTCACCATTAACCAAAGTCATTTGGAACAGGTTCGGTCGTGACTTTGGTGTAGATCAGCTGGAACAAACATTGTACCTCAATAAGACTCCTGGGTACGCAAAGAAATGTGACACACGAAAAAGCATCCCCCCCAAAAAAACCCCCCAAAAAACAACAACAACAACAACCAACAAAACAGAACAAAACAAATACCTAACAACAACAAAAAAACAAAAAAACAATAAACAAAAAAGAGAAAACAATAACAAA